AATGATAGCGATATTGTTGAGCTATATTTCCAAAAAGAGAGAGAGAGAGAGAGAGAGAGAGAGAAATGATAGCGATATTGTTGAGCTATATTTCCAAAGCACCATTATAAAGCAAAATTGGAAATGGTGGGGTACTGGAGGAAACCAGCCTGTAATTCTTTGCCAGTAATAAAAAAAAATAGCTCCAGTATTTATTTAGTTTTAGCACATAACTTAATATATTATTGAACTGATGACACATATGGTCATTTCCTTACAACCTGACAGGTTTTCTTAAGAAAGTCCCAACTTTTCTGGCAAGACTGAGAGAGGTGCTATAGATTGATTGTGCTAATGAAGCAAGCCAGGCATGAAAAGATTCAGGGTTAAGACATATACATACACTTGAATAAGGTTTATAATCTTGTGCTATGCCAAAATATGGTTGGTTTATTTGAGGCTCAGCCATTGTGATTTATAAAACATAGTTTATGACTTGTCATGAATGTAAAGCCAGACAATTATAGCTTATTCAACAAATCACAGTTTAACATGAAAATAAAAAGAATAATCTAAGCAATGCAATCCTATCCATGTTTACTCACAGGACCTTATGGATACAAATGGGTTTATTTCCATGCAAATGTTCATAATATTACAGCTTTTGTACTTCCCATGACTCCTCTTCTTCTGTTTCAAAAGTCCAGGTAAACCATACCATGACTTTCACCACCTGATGCCCTCCAGCTGGGATGGGCTATCTCCCATTCAGCCCAACCACCTGCATGTGAGATGGGATGCTGGGAATTGTAAACCAACCCATGTGGAGAGCACCATGCTGTGAAAGACTGCCACCGCCCTTCGGCCCATGCATTTGAGGGTCTACTTAAATGCCCGTCTTAATTCCTTCTTATATCAGCACAGATGCTTCCAGACCTGTTGGAACTTTTGCAGGAGAACCACACAATTACCACCTCTCTCACCCACATCAAATGTCGCCTATTTTTCAATATGGTGGGGGGTGCAATGCACAGAACTGAAAGCTCAAAACCGGCACAAGGAAATAAAGGAGTGGCAACTACAAATACCGTGCTTGTTGTCCTGCAGAACCAGGCTGTGGGAGAAGAATATGATGGTCGTCCTCCATGGTCTTAGTTGTCTCAGGAGCTGAGTTCTGGCAACGTGCTTGATGGCTGTGAAGTGGGAACTTTTTGAAACCTTCTACTTGAAAGGCAAATAAGGGAAGTGAAAATTGAAAGACCTAAGTAACTGGAAATACCCTTCAATACTCTGCCCACACTATTATCATGAAGGAACCTAACTGGGCAATTTTATTCCAGATTTAATTTCTAAGAGATGTCATTGGGTACTCAAATGACATCACCTGTTGGCAGGCAGCGCATGGCTGTTCTTTGTTTCATCGCACAGTTAGCGTGCAGTAGCTTTCTCAAACCAGCCTTTATCATAGTTAAATAACATTGTTCCCAGTAGCATTATTCTTTAATGAAGTAGCTACAAAGAATCATGAGCTGTTAGGGAGCTCAGTAGAGATGCCTATCCATTCGTCTAAATACAGGTCAAATAACAGACTGAATAGATTGTAGTTCATTTGCAGCAATTCAGAACTTTGCTCATGCTGATTTTGCCTCCCTGCTCCAGATACTTTGTCTCTCTCCATACTCAAAATTGTTTCTCTTACTGGGAGTACTTTTGCATGTGTTTCTTTAATGAGTGACAATTGACAGGAATCTAGCATCAAGTTCAGGATCCATCCCCTCCCTCAGTGAGAATAGTTTTGTAGGGAAAATTCTCAATAGAAACTTCAGCTCCAGAACAGGATCTGGAATTCTGAACTTTTGAGAGTCTTATCCTTAACTAGTTCTTGCTGGAAAATGATTGCAGGTAATTTCCAGTTTAGTTTGCACACAACAAATTCCTGGTCAATTCCTATATCCACATCAGAGCAAGAATACGCCACTTAGTTCAGCTTATGTGTTTGTATTTGTATTTGTATCTGTATCATTTTATTGTTTATTTATTATCAGGAAACATCAAAATATTAACTGGCAAAAACAGAATAAAGGGCAGGCAAAAGCAGGAAGAAAGATATTAACAGGCAAGAATTTACATTATCTATCTATCAAAAGGGCTCTGAATTTTCCAGAGCCACTGAAACAATACTGTGGGTAATTAGCAAGGATGTCCAAGCCTTTGGTTATTCCAGCTGTAACCCTTTCTTGTACATAATGGCAGAGGAATAGAGATGGGAAGGAGGATAGTAAGTGATAAAATCCTCCTCCAATCTGCACTGTGAATGAAACAATTTTCTGGATTGGGATAATGCAGTGGTTCTCAACCTGAGGCTAAGAAACACTGGGATCATAGGATAATATTACCCAACAGTTCTTACCTTACCAATGCTAAAACAAATAGCAGTGTGGCTGTCGTTTCATTAATTTTAAAATACATTTTTGAGCTAGATCAGAAGCACAGTTATAATGCAGTCATTTTATTCAGTGGCTTATATTAGGCACAAATTTAAATTTAGGCTATAATTTTCAATAGACTAAAATACAAAGAGATGTTCTGAGAATCTGGATGGTTTCCTAATCTGTAATATCACATTACAAGATAAAATCCAGCATCACAGTAGACTTTGCTGATCAATTGTGCTTTCAACTCATCTTTTCTCCTTTGAAGCCCTTTTCCATCTAAGATCTGCTTTACGGTGGTCCTAATCCTCAGCAGCAGGTTTTAAGGTCACATAGACTATCACCCGCTGCTGAGAACAACCTACAGAATTCAGCATCACAAATCATAGAAGTGTAATATATTCCCCCCCCAAGACATATGTATCCTTTCATACTCTTATAATGATTTAAATAAACCTAGTCTTTTGACTGTTTTTCCAAATAGCTAGTAGACCTAGTTTAACTTATGCTACCTTAGTCATTTTTCTTTAAAATATGCTAGGGAATACTTTCCCATTGGCCACCTGATCAGCACACTCAGCTGAGAGCTGAGAACAGATTATGAGTTTCCCCTACTAAAAGGATCAGAAAAATCAGCTGGTTACTGGGAAAGAGTGGGACAGAGGAGATGGGCACATACTGTCATGGCTTGGTCTACACATACCTGCCACACCCATCATAGCAAGCTGCTCAGCCCTTTGTGCCAAAAGATTTTCCACCAATGCTCAGCTTTGAAGAAGTCCTGGGGGTGATTGATGGGCTGCTTCTGAGCAAAATGGGAGTTATTAAGAGTAACCTATCACAGGACATAATATAAACTTCACAAATGTGGGTCTCTTCCATCCAGTCCTTAAAAAGGCAAGTCTCCAAGTCAAATATATTTCCCAGTGACCTCATGGAAATATCCATCTAGTTTTCTCATTAAGAACATGGAAATAGTTTCACACTGCCTTCTTCCTGGTCTGTTTCACAGGGCTGGGATTCACTGATGGTCTCTCATCCAAATACTAACTAGGTCCAACCCAGCTTTTTTGAGATTAGCCATGGTCAGATAGCTACTGCCACCTAGTGATTATTTTTAGAGGAAAATGGTGACATCTATTAAAGAGTATGGGCCATGAGGTATGTCTTACAGCCTGTCCTACCTCCAAATGGTAGGAAATGCAGATATCTATTCACTAGTCTTCTGATTAGATTAATAGTAAAATAGAAACTTACCAGCAAAATATAAACGTTGTCCAGCAATAGTGGTAAATACCAATACCAACCCCCTAACTGAGGTGAATTTCAGCATTTCAGATAGGACATTGTTGTCTGTCTCAGGAAACACTCTTAGATCAGCTGGTTCTGGAGATGTTAAACAGGCCAATTCATTTATAACAGAACCATAGAACATTTTTAAAACAAAACCATGTTAGCATATTTGCAAGCAGTATATTATATTCTCAAAAGCTTTATGTAATTAAAGCATTCTGTTGTGAATGATTGTCTGCTTAGCAACGCTACATTAGGAAGCATCTGATTTCTTACCAGCTACAACATGGTCCCTCTGTCTTACACTTTGGCTTTTACTAGCAATTTCATAAGTTGGTTTTCAAATGAGTCACTTCTACATTAAAAACTGCACACATAAAAGAAGAAATCTTTTATTTCAAGATGCCATTTTCACAAAATGACTGATGACAGTACAAGAGAATCATGAAAATGGGGATTGCTTCTCTAAACTATTTTCAGAAGGGGAAGCAAAATAGTTTACATTTAATTTCTTCAAAAGGCAAAGACTTGCCAATAAAGATGGCAGCTGGGCCAAATGGTTTCCTATGGCACACACCTGAATGCCTGGAAAAAAGTGGAAACAGACTGAAAGATATTGATTTGCATTTAATGTTGTATCGAGTTTTTAAAAATAAGTTACTTCTTTAACATCTATTGCAAAATATATATTGGATTTAAGCATTGTTAATTTATTTGATTATCTGTGAGATTCGGCCCCATTTCTGCTTTATATTCTTGGCAGTTATTATTTAGCTTTAATGGATACCCTTAAATGCACCAATAAATTTGTGCTATCGCTTTTTGTTTTTGAAGTTCCAAATGTCCACCAAACAAAAGGTTGAGGTAGGGCTTCAAAATAGTGAAACATTTTCAAAACTTGATGCCAGATGTAGACTGGAACTCCTATCATCCTCAGCAGCACTAAAGTTGGGAAAGGTTTGCCTAACCAATGTCAGCAGTGGACTAGATGTTGAATAATAAAGTCAGCTCATTTTCCCGTACTGGTCATCTCCCAGTTCTACTAAGCTATGATTTATACCCCAACACTTTAAACTTGGAATAGCTTGGATATTATCTAGCTAAAGGATGTGTCTAACAAAAATCTAGTATCAGTTAAATTATCCTGCTGTACAGATGATCCCAGGTCACCAGGCCTGATGGTCAGGTTAAAAAAAAAACAGAAAAAAGACTAAGCTTCTCATGCATTGGGGCTTTTTTTAATGGTGAAAAAAGCCTAGTATAATAGCCTAAATTATGAACACAGCATTAACAAGCAAGCTAATTGTGGCTATCTATATGGGGTGCTGCACACTCCATAATTATAGAATTGGGTCACCATATGGACCACCAACATGGGTGTTTATTGCACATAAATTCTATGCCTGTTTCCCCCCCAATTTTAACCCAAGACTATTTCTGCAGCACTATGCACACTTACATGACAGTATAAATAAATAAAATAAATAAAATACAGTCAAAGCTACTTCTGAGTGGCCTTGGAATATTCTTGCCCAATCATCTATACTCCCAGTTTTCCCACAGTAATTAAAAAACAGGAATAAATTGTCAATTAAAAAAAGATGATAAAGCTAAAAATAGGTCAGGATTAAAAGAATCAAGGCAAACGGCTGCTTTACAAAAGAACCTTTTAGAGAGAACTTTAGCAATTCAACGCACAGGCCACTTTTGTATACCAGCCTTTCAGATTTGAGACTGAACTTCTCATCTGAGGAAGCCGCCATCCAGGAAGACAAAGAATCCAATCTACACAAGGAATGCAGGCATTCTCTGTCTCTACTTTTTACCAACATTATATATCGCCTTCCAAACTCTACTTTAACTGATACGATTCTTTATTTTGTACTAAGCAGCTTCACAGAAAAACAATTTCAAGTGAAAAGGAATATACCAAAGTGCCTGTGGGAGCTATTAGCAGGCAGAAAAAACTCCCCACAGAGAGGATGTTTTTCATGTCAATAATTATCAAGAAAAGGCTCAATGGCAAATCAAAGATACACTTCACTGAACAGTAGCGGCGACTAAATTTATAGAAGAGAAACACAAATGAGAATGGAGATTTATTGGAAAGCTTTAATGATGAAATGCAACAGCCACTGTTTTACAGACGACGACCACGGCGACCGCCCTTTCTACGAGTGCTGTCTGAGGGAATGGGGGTAACATCCTCTGTGAAGAGAAAAATGTTATTTTTGAGTATCATTTTCACTCTTTGCATATACAAGCCTTCAAAAATCAAGAGATATCATATGGAAATAATACCTTAAGGGAGAAGAGGACAACATTCAGAACGTAACACTAAAAACATAAAATTTCATAAGACAGATTATACTTCCTAATTTAAGTTTCTGAAATTTCAGGATGTGAAAGTCCAAGACAGGGCATGTCTGCAGAAGCTTTAAGAAACAACTGCTAGGAAAAGCTAGGGCCATGCACAAAGAATGCATTTTATTTCCAAGGTGAGGGAGACGCATTGTGTTTCAGTTCTGTCAAACTGTT